TAAAATCTAATGGGTTTAGTTACAGTGTAATGCATTTATTAAGCATTTCTCTAAAATGTCCGAACTCATTATATAGGTTTGATATTAAGGTGTTATCATGATAGACACCTATTTAACTGCGGTGACACACAACATGCCTTTATGTTAAAATTAAATAAAACAACTTCTCATAAAGAACAAGAACATGGTCTTCTTATTAAAGAAATACCAATGGTTATATAGGCTAATTATGCATTCTTTATAGCAACTTGTTTACCATATTCTTCATTCTTTCAAGCAGACATTTATTTATAAATAAATTTAGAATAATCTTTAGGGTTACTAAAGTTTTTCAGTCAAGAGCAGTGAGTGAGTCTTTCTGTTGTTGCTTGATTAACATCAATGACATCAATAGCAACTAAATTAGGCTGCTGTCCCTTTAAAACCGAATGCACAGCTGCAATGGATGCAATGTACTGATACACGTTCTCCCTACTATTTACGTTCATTTAAGATGTAATCAACTGTGTTTACGTGTATACTCATCAAAACAGACAAATCATTTTGTGTGTAATTCTCCATTCATGCGACGCGAGAGTACTCGCGCGCTGTGAGACGCGCTTTCTGTGTGTACGCTTCAGTGTCTGTGCTCTATGGAAAGCCGTTGTAACATTTAATCTATAAGCCGTACTAGTATCTATTTTCATGGTACTAGTACCTATTTTTTAGAACCTAGTATCTTTTCCATTAAGTACTAGTTACTAGTAACTAAAAAATAAGTACTAGTTCTATTTTTCCTTAACAAGAAGAGTATAATTAAATACTAGTCACTATTGGAATAAGTACTAGTATCTAATGAATAAGTACAAAAGACACTAGTACCTAAAGAATAAACACTAGTACCTAAAGAATAAGCACTAGTAGCTAAAGAATAAGCACTAGTACCTAATGAATATACTTAATTACTTAATGGAAAAGATACTAGTATCTAAAAAATAGATACTAGTACCATGAAAATAGATACTAGTACGGCTAAATGTTAAAACGGCTTGCCATATGCGCTCAGAAAACCAGACCGAATTGAGTCTCTTGAATCGTCAGATTTATCCATATGTCTGCTCTTCTCTTACTCCCACATATTGACATTTTTGAACGTTTTATGAGACGTGCAGCAAGTGTATTTTAGCTTATGTCCCGCCGGTTCATTTGTACGCATCTAACCTCCTAACTATGCAGCAGATTTGTTCTGAATGAATCTCTTCCCAAATCGTTCCTCCCTAACATTCTCGTCTCGTTTTTATTCGTTTTATTCCTTTGTCATTCAAAAAGAGTTTTAGTTCGTTATCATCTCATTGTCGTCTGTGAAAAAATGTTGTTGACAAAAATTATGACGAATATTATTTCTTCAACGAAATTAACACTGGTTCTAACATAGTAAAAACATACAATACTGTCCCAGTCACCTAGGTTCAGCTTCTGGACTGCCATCCCAAAAGGTTACAGGTTCACTTCCATGCAAGGGCAACACAGGAACAAGAAATATACTAATACAGCACTCACATACACCAGTTTGCTCAGGAGGAGTGTTCATGTAATTACTGTACAGTAAGAAATTATGGATTTAAAAAATCTCTTAAACGACAAGTAACTGACATATAATGAAGCACCTCTGTTAGTCTTGAGGTAGAATCAGCAGAGAAATTAGATCAGGGCTTCTCAAATTTCTTATGTGCTTATATACCATTTACACTTGCACTGTAATGCACTTAGTGCGTTCATAGATTAGACCTTATTAAAAAAAACAAAGTAATGACAAATGCAAAGCGACTAACTATGAATTATACATAGTATTTAGCTATGTAAAGGGGAATTGGAGTTTGCTTGATCATGTCACCTTAATGCTTTTCTTACTTTGTTTTGGCAGCACAAATCTAAAAGACTAAACAGTGATAGTATCAGTGCATACAAGCTATTTGGAAAAACTTGCACAATGAGGTGTCAAAAGCAATATAGGATTGTGAATGAGAAAACACTAGTTTATTTGGTGACAAACTGGATGTTCCTGATATTCTCAATGAGCCCACAATTCATGTTTCTGCATGCAAATCCCAGTTCTAAGAAATGTGGCTATAACAACAACAATTATTTGTACAGTGTAATTATAAAATCAGCCTTTTGAAAGCAAGAGCAAAAAGTCTCAAGTCACTAGAATTAAAACCCTCATTAAAAAGTAAGAACTCTTCAACACATGCACAAATCCACAAACATCTCTGCTCTGGCTAATGTATTTGACAGTTCTTATGATGCTGCATGACAAGAAAAAGCTTGAGCAACTTGATGCTAGAACACTCTCCCTCCGCACACACTCCACGGCCATCCGGCTCTCAGTGGTACATGAGTCAGCTTGTGCCCAGCCTGAATTAACAGTCATGCTGCTAGGCCATGCTGTGCTAAATCACAGTCAAAACGGCCTGGCCTGTTTTAGCAAGCTGCAGCCGACAGGACCACTAGCCTGAATTTTATCTCTGCCCAAGAGCCGTTTCAGGGCCATGTTTCCTCATACAGCAGAAAGGAGCATTTTTCAATGCATCCCGGACCATGAACTAAATCCTAACATTCACGGAAAACGGCTGTGGAGAGATATGATTCAGACAAAATAGGTTAAATGTTGATTAGTATATTAGTAAATGTAACTAATTCTCTATGTTGCAGTTAAAATACATGAACAAGAGTAGGGCAATGCTGCCAGGCTCTCTGACTTGATTGAATTGAATGGTTACAAAATAACAAATGCATATGTCAATCAAATCAGAGGACAAAAATATGCTTTTTTTTTTTTTATATATTGACCCAAAATATAGTTTGCATGGGTCTTTTATGAAAGGGCCACAATTTTCAGAGGAAAACAACACTACAATACAAAAAGGCTGATAAAATGCTGTGCATTATTATGATGAAAAATAAATTGGTATAATCAGTGTTTAAATCGGATGAGGATTTGTTTTCTACATCAAACTCAACAGCCTTTTGGCACAAATGTATCTGTCAGTTGATTGAATGAATCTAGTCAAATTAGGTGGGCACCAATATGGACAGGTTGTGTGACTTTCCCTCATCTTCAACAATTAAAAAAAATCTACAGGTAAGTCAAAGTTACAAGAAAATTTGACCCATACATTGTGCTGACCTCTTTTTTTTTTTGCGCAATTTAAAATGTAAACCTTTTTCAAATGATTTTTTCTATTAAGCCAGTCATGTTAAAGTTGCAATGTAATGGAAGTTACAGCAGATCTTTTCTTCTTTATAGTGACATCCAAGTGTAACATTATCGAAAAAGAACAAAAATACAGTGCAGGGATTTGGTTCTATCCATCGTTTGTTGATTGGCTTTTGAGTTGTGGCGTTTTTTTTTCAGAAATTAATGTGAGATTGCAGACTGCATGATTGGAGAAATCCAGGTGACATTTTCACTGGAAGATTGGGGTATTTTGATTAAAAATGTAAAATTAACATACATGGACAAATCGTTTACAATAAAATAACATGCATTTACTAAATAGATAGGGTGAAATAGCATTTCATGCTGACTTCAATAATTTTGCATGTTGTTGCATCTACACGGTTTGTGTTTATATTATTAAATCAATACGTTGAACTGTAAAATCTCCTGATCATGAAGCAAAACCGAATGAGAACCACCGATTAATAATAATAAAACTTTTGTAAGTAAAAATAAGTCTAGTTTTTAATTAAAAATTAGATGAGTATGAGTAGTTATGCTGTCACTATAGTACTTTGGTTCTATCCATCGTTTGTTGATTGGCTTTTGAGTTGTGGCGTTTTTTTTTCAGAAATTAATGTGAGATTGCAGACTGCATGATTGGAGAAATCCAGGTGACATTTTCACTGGAAGATTGGGGTATTTTGATTAAAAATGTAAAATTAACATACATGGACAAATCGTTTACAATAAAATAACATGCATTTACTAAATAGATAGGGTGAAATAGCATTTCATGCTGACTTCAATAATTTTGCATGTTGTTGCATCTACACGGTTTGTGTTTATATTATTAAATCAATACGTTGAACTGTAAAATCTCCTGATCATGAAGCAAAACCGAATGAGAACCACCGATTAATAATAATAAAACTTGTTTTGTAAGTAAAAATAAGCCTAGTTTTTAATTAAAAATTAGATGAGTATGAGTAGTTATGCTGTCACTATAGTATGTATACTGAAAAAGACTATGAATAAAAAGCATCTGCTAAATGACAACATGCAATTAACTTACTAAATATAGATATTAACAAAATGAGCAGAAAAATAATTTGCAAACTAGTACAATTCATATAAAACGACCTTTTCCCAATTAAAAACAGCAAACTTGTCCTGGCAGGTCAAAAGACCACTTAATGGACGCCACATATGAATTGTGGGGTTAAATGATTGTGTTACTCTTGACCTGCAGTGTGTCAACACATCCTGTCATGCATCACAACACTGCTACTGACCTCATTCAGATGCCTGCCCTCTTCTTAGGTCACATATGCTGAATTGTATGCCAATTTATGTAAACCACAAACAAATCCAGAGAATGTCAAGTGTAGTTTCAATGCGCACAACCACGTTTTCAAGTCAGGTTGCTGCCAGGTTGCATTCGCTCCATCACAGCAAGCTAGCTAGTCCTCCAATAGCAGCTAGCTACACATACCAGCTAAGGCATAAAACAAAGGTATTTTCTGTTATAAGCGCTAGTCCCAGGCTCTTTTGCGTGGCTGCGAGTCACATTTGTGTCGGCCTGATCCAGCGCAAGGCCAGAACTCTGCTGCAGATGTGTCGCGCGTTAACTCCATGCCAAACTCCCGGCAAACTACAGCTCTACGACAACACGAGCGCACAAACACGCGCTTTCGAGTCGCTCGGTCCTAAACACACGAAAGCACGTGTTCATGGTCGCTAACAGAAATAAACGACTGTCTGAGGTGGATGAATTTTCACTAGCTCGCTGCGTGCTTACCTCCTCTTCTTCTTCTCCTCGCCTTCTCCAGTTCACTCCCATACATACATACACACGCCAGCAAACAGATCCCCACAACCGCAGAAGTGTCGGCGTTTATCGCTTCCACGTTAACGATGGCCAAGTCAGATTTTCTTCTCTCTTACAAGGCTTGACAGTGAAATCAAGAGTGTGGCATGACTGCAGGGGCGGAGGTTGGTTGGTGGGACAGTAATTTCTCTCTCTCTCTCTCGCTCGCTCGCTCTCGCGCGCTGGCTGGGCAGAGATGACGTAATGGCACACTAGTCAGGTCAAGTTGTAACTTTTGATGCAGCCTGAGAAGTTGCAGGAAGTGCCGATGGATTAAAGTGCACCATGTCCAGTCAAACTGAGATTCTATCTCTGAAGACAAATGAGCTAATGCTGTCCATAAACATCCTCCTAACTAGGCCGTGTATGCTCAGTGAGATAGTTTTGATGTTAAACAGGACAATGTATTTTTTTCCTTTAAAGTATTGACATTGCTTTTAATTTGAACTGGTTTCTTCTCTTTATTCATTGTTAATAATGTAGCTTTGAGCAGGGTCTATTTCACTGAGTGCTATCCCTGGTTCTGAGTAAAACATCTCTGTTAAAAACAACAAAAGCCTAAGTAGAGCTCTCTTCTCTGGAAAAAGATAATGCAATTTTGCTGGAAAACATTGTGAAATAGCTTTCATGGTGCGTGCCACGAATACCATACACTTTGTGAGACTTAGATTTGTTTGTTAACAATTTCAGACCATGGGAATTTTGTCCTGATTTTGACCCGGTCTTGACGTTCTTGACAGTACCTAGCATTTATATATATATATATATATATATATATATATATATATATATATGGGTAGTTGACAAATAGGCAGTAAAAAAAGCTTTTTTTGTTGTTTTTGAAAAAGCAATGCATATATTTATGTAGCGTGAAGTCTGATCTTTGAGAAAATATAAAGGGTCACTAACTTCGTCAAATCTTTCACTGCTTTTTTTTTTTTTTTTTTACATTTTTACTGAACTGTATTATAAATTTGTCCTATGGCGTGACATAGCAAAAGTTAAGAAAACAAATCTCTTAATAATACATAAATAGCATGAGAGAGATTTATCTTCATTGTTAGACACTTATTTTCATATAGTGCTATTTATTTAATGTGAAATTATAATTACCATAATTTTCCCCCATGACTTGTTAGACAATTTCAAGACAAACTTTGACAATAAGACAAACGTTGCTGTCAACCGTTCAAAACTGCTGAAAATTATACCATTTTAAGTTGAGTGATATTTGTATCTCCCCTATTGCAATACTCAACTGTTTTTTTTAAGATATTTTGAGAAATACAAATCTGTGTTTCTTTAATGTGTGCCACACCATAGGACATCACGTCACACTAAAGGACAGAAATGGTAGTTATTAAATTATTTCTATTTAATTTTGAACATGTCAACAGAGAAAGAACGTTTAATTTGATACAAACAATATCAGCGTTTTAAACCAAACAAAAATAATTTTCATCAACAAAAGTCAGTCTCTTAGTCAATCAGTATGTTACTGAAATTTTTTCTAGCCCCCCTGCTTCATGTGTGGCACAGCTAAATATGATTGATATTCAAACTATATTCATTAACATGTGAATGAATTTTTTAAAACTATATGGCTACTCTTTTTAAGGCATCATTTTGATTCAATTTTCTTTCTGCATCGCTCTTTTAAGATCTCCTCCCTTCTGCGTGGATCCCTGTTAATTTTCTGTCTATATTTCCATGTCCTCTCTCTTCCAGTAATTTCTCTCCCTCAATTCTTTCTGTCTCAAAAACAAAGTATCACATTTTATACTTATTTTCATTACACTTTATAACAGTACTAGTTTACTGTAAAAACATCAGAAAATAGTTAAATTAATGTAATTATTGCATTAGTTCACCCAAAAATGAAAATTAGGCTGCGTTTTACTCACCCCCGAGGCATCCTAGGGGTATATGACTTTCTTCTTTCAGATGAATTCAGTCAGAGTTATATAAAAAATTGTCTTTGATCTTTCAAGCTGTTTAATGCCACTCAGCGGGTGTTGCATGCATCAGTCCAAAAGAACTTAAATAAAAATCACCCATCCATAAAAAAAAGTGTCTCACATGGCTCCGGTGGGTGAACAAAGACCTTCTGTAGCGAATCGATGTGTTTTTGTACGAAAAATATCCATATTCAAAACTTAATAATCACAGTTGTCCATCGAAGCAGTTCCGGGAGCATGACGTATGAGGACAATTTTTAATATAACTCCGAATGGCTTTGTCTGACAAAGTCATATACACCTAGGATGCCTCGGAGGTGAGTAAAACGCAGCCTAATTTTCATTTTTGGGTGAACTAACCCTTTAAGAACACTGAAAATTATCAAAAAAATAAATGCGAATCGATGTGTTTTTGTACGAAAAATATCCATATTCAAAACTTAATAATCACAGTTGTCCATCGAAGCAGTTCCGGGAGCATGACGTATGAGGACAATTTTTAATATAACTCCGAATGGCTTTGTCTGACAAAGTCATATACACCTAGGATGCCTCGGAGGTGAGTAAAACGCAGCCTAATTTTCATTTTTGGGTGAACTAACCCTTTAAGAACACTGAAAATTATCAAAAAAATAAATAAGAAGGAGTTAAACAAATCTTATTTAATTATTTAAAATGCTTTTTAAAGAGACCTTGTCCTCTGGTGTGACATCTTTGTCCTGTGGTGTGACAGTACATCCGGAGGACATTTTCTGTCACACCATAGGATGTTTCAGCCTTTTGTGTCAATTAATGACCTTGCTATTCTGAGCTAACCTGTCATTAGCAGTAAGCAAGACACATTTGCATAATTTTCCATCATTATGTAGTTTAATGTACAGTTTTTAAATAATATATATATATATATATATATATATATAATTTAGGGGTGTCACACCAAAGGACAACAAAACGTAACACTTTTGTAGTGGTTCCGAAAAAGTGAAATATTTGAACAATTCTGAGACAGAAATTGACCATGTGCTCATGTCATGGGCTTGACAGAAGGCTTCAGTAACATGATCATGAATGGGGACCTTCAACTAATTAAAGTTTATCTTTGGAATTGGCAGATTCAAAATCAGGATATGGTGTCACACCACCAGTTTTATACGTTATAAAACTTTATAACTTTTGAGGTCGACAGTCATTATTTTCTGGCGGACCTTTCCCTGACCACTTTTCACTGACATGCCTTATTTTATACCCTGTTTGTTGAAAGTGCTTCATAATGTTTATTTAGAATTTTTATTTATTTATAATAAAGCAAGGTCAAGATTGTTTTTCTCAACCGAACTTAGGTAGCTGATACGTGTGTAATATGTATTAAAAATTTTTTGGGTTACACTTTACTTGAAGGGGTGTGCATAAGACTGACATGACACCTACATAATCATGACATGACACATGTCATGAATATGAAGGGTTTTTATGCATGTTTATGACAACTGTCATTAAGTGTCATTCGCTCAGTTATGTAATTTTTAATGCAAAGATGACATTGTTTGAGATGTCTTTGTTATGGGCTATGGTTAGGGGTAAGGGTAGGGGTAGGGTTAGGTCAAATAATGTCATATTTGCATTAAAAATGACATAACTGAGCAAATGACACTTAATGACAGTTGTCATAAACATGCATAAAACCTCCTTCATATTCATGACATGTGTCATGTCATGATTATGAAGGTGTCATGTCAGTCTTATGCACACCCCTTCAAGTAAAGTGTTACCAATTTTTGTTGGCTCATATTAAAATACATTAGATTATAGTGTTGTTAATGGAATATTTGTGTAATTCAATAACATGCTGATATTATAATGTTTGAATCTTAATCCAGTCATATAAATTAGTGCATTACCACTAGCTTATACTTCAACAGACCCCTTGCCAATTAGCACAATAAACACTGACAGTAAATTAAACTTAAATTAAGGTGTCAAACCTTAACCTGTCCAAAACTTACAAAGCAATTACTTCATAATTATAGGCATTGTGTATCACCAGGATATCTCAGGCTAATGTAAAATCATAAGATGACATGAGTAAGAATCATTTCTGAGATAACATAGATTGAGATTGAGTCAGGTGAACCCACTGGTCTTGATATTTCATCATGGAAGTGCTACAACTTCATGAATGAGGCAACGGGTGGGGGTCCATCCATTCATCCCACACCCTGATTGTCTCATCAGAAGAACAGTTGTGACTCAATCCCAGTGGAGAATGAACAAGAAATGACTAAATGAGATGGGAGCAAAGGAGAAATCCTGGGCCTCTGTGAAAAAAGATGGCAGAAAAAGTCTAAAAATGCATTATTAATTACAATTTACATGAATTTAAAGGGGGCATAACACACACAGTTTCACCTCATGTTAATCTTGAGTACCTATAGAGTAGTACTGCATCCTTCATATCTCCAAAAAGTCTTTAGTTTTATCATATTTATAAAAGAAAGATACAGCTTTATGATTCTCTCCGGAAAAAGCAGAGCTCCTGGAGGCACGCTGTGGGCGGAGCTAAAGAGTGACAAGCACTTGGGCGCCGAATGCCAAAAAAACAGACATTTGATGCCGTTTCACTTTCTGTCTGCAGTTCTGAATCATGACCGGGATCTTTTATAGCTGGGACCGCTCCATCTTTCAGTATCAAACGATGTTCAAATCCAGCGTCAAACTGGGCCTTGTTTATAAAACGTTCGTCAACAAGCACACTTGTGAAACTCCATTGCTGCTCCGGAAAAACAAACTGTATCTGCTGTCTACATAACCCTGGGTTCTTTAGGAAACTGAACAATGTTATCTTTCACATACAACCAAAAACACACTTCTTTGGATTGGAGACATTCTTCCCGAGCAAGTCCTGTGCAGCGTTGCCGCCGGATGAAGCACGTTGATGGGTGCGATCTGCTCTTGCTCTGGTTCTTCTGGGAGAAATGCCCATATAAGGAGTTCCACCCTCGTTTACGTCATTAAGAGCCACGATCGAAAAAAACTCTCGAAACTTGTACGAACCCGGAAATAAGATTTTTGGCACAGAAATACTCAGTCATACGTCCAAATTGTTTTTTGAAACTTTGTCCATGCTTAGCATGAGAATCCAGCTCTTTAACAGTGTAATTAACTCTGAATGCATGAAACAGCATTGTACCCCCCCTT